TGAGGCTTCGTGGTTTGCGTGACTGAGACTGAAGAAGTGCGATGATATTTATCTGTCACGTCGTCGACCATTTGTACGTCGTGTTCAGGTTCGCTATCGTAATTGACTTCAATAAAACTACAGTCTTCCATGACAGACAAAGAGGTTTGACTTTCGTCTTCTCGCAGCAGATTCACCCTTTTCTGGGAGAAGTTACGACTTTTGACAAAAAGCCCTCTTTTCTTGCAAAGGTTGCAAGTCACCTCCCTCGCGATGCTCCAGCGAAATGGGTTCCCACAAAAGTAGCACGGCTTGCTGTAGTTTTTACTCTGCCCCTGTTTTGAAGTTCAGTTTGCGGATCCTCCCCTACCCCTAGAACTATTTCTTCCGGATTGAATCGAAAATGTCGGTTCTCGCTCGGCCCTGGTGATACCTGATGGCTGATTTTTGTGGGGAAACGACTTTTGGAACTGTGCTGAGGTACTTGCTCCCTTCTCGCATTCTAACGAGGACTTCGGCGTATTGTCAAGGGTTTCATTAGCCTTGACTAGTTGGCGATATATTTCTACGTCGTGCACTCGTCCGATGACAAGATCTCTCAAAATTTTGCGCTTTTGATCCTGAGGCCAATTGCATAACGCCACCTGCGCCAAAAGTCGCGCAAAGAAGGACGAAAAAGTATCGGTTTCCAGAATAAATATCGTATTATACAGTTTGATCTGTTGTGTACCGTATAATCACGAGCAGATTAGAATAATGCTCCGCACGCGTCGTGGAAGTCTTTGATTGAGCTCACATTAAGGTTAAGATGTGGATTGCAGTCTGTTAAACGTCGTTTTCCTTCATTTCCCAGGCAAAAGAGTTAGCACGATTTGAGGCGAGCCGCTGCCTCATGGTAAAACCAATTCTGGCCAATGTGAGGGCCTTTTCTTCGACGCTCTGCGTTCCATTCGTCAGTTCTCCTAAATTCCGCCTGATCGCCGACGAAAACACGTCCAACTCGGGCCACTGCGTCTTCTGTGGCTGCTGGTGTCTCTAGTTTTTGGGGAGGTTCGTCGACGATCACCGCCGGAAGAACCAACACATCGTTTGCGATACCGTTATCCTTTAGGCCCACAACCAATCCAAGCTTCCCACAATAACTGGCCTATCCAATTTTCTCACAAAATGGGGGGTTAACAGAGTGTTTCGCCCAAACAGGCGGAACACCTAACAGATCAGTCCTGTCTTCATTCACAGGAACTGCTGGCTGTGCCATGAAATAACCCGCCCATAACTGACTAAATTCTAAAGCTGTTAGTAATTTGAGAATTATCATAGATAGATAGAATACGAGTAGGATAAATAGATACATTGTATCGAATGAATAAACGTTTACAAACGCCGTTTTGTATAGACTATGTATGATGATTAGATAGAGGTACAGAATAGGCAGTCAGTTTAAAATATGACTGTTTCTTGTTAAGGATATCGCGGAACTGGCTAAACCTAAAACATAACGGCACCACAATGCGATCGGGTAAATATGGCCTTGAGGAAGGACATATGAAATTGCGAATACATAAATAAATACACATGGTTAATTTAAATAAGCATAGGATAAGCGAGGTACCGATGGTCGCATCATACCATCTATAATCTTCTATCTTCGAATTTAAAAAATGTTGAATGCGAAAACACTTTTTCGAGATGCTAATTTCAAGCTCAACCTAAATTGAATTTTTTTAGTTTTTATTAAAGTCTTGTTTGTTTCACACATCTTCTGGCAGGTTCATCGCCAACCTAAGTATCAGAACTTAAGTTACGCCAACATCAGGGGAAATTATATCGTTCAAAAAGCTATTACTCAACAAACGCTTGTGTTATAAACCCGGGTTGACAAAATTGCGAATCATAAAAATTTCATTTGAGGACAATTTCATAAAAATTTCATTGTGAGGCCAACGATACATCGACTTTCATTGCCAAAACAAGAGAAAGTTCTTTTAAGTTTCCATTATATCTTTTTAGCAATGAAAATTATTTGATTAGCATTTTTTCATGGACTTAATTTATTGAATTGTATGAGCTCAATACACAATATTTTTTACTGATCAAAGTTTTACAATATTGTTTTCATTTTCTGTATAAATATATGGAGGCGTTGAAGAGTGCCGAAATTCTTAAAAATCATTCCAGACTGCCAAAATTTTTTACTTTCCTTTAATTGGCTTGTTTTGATTCAATTTTTAAGTTAGGTTAATATGAAAAAATCATGATGTAACTTGTTTTTGTAGCTGGTGTAATTGGCACTTGTCTAGCATTGTTTTCGACATTCGACAACTTTCTCCTAATTCTTGTACTTTATTTTTTCCGGTCTTCTTGTACTGAACCGCCTTTGTTAAGTTGCAGGTTTTTTTCCGCTTCTTAAAATGAATTCATTGCTTCCTGGTACAGGCATGAAACAATGTTTTATAGAGCAAATTTTGAATAGTAAACATTTGATAATGCCTGCCCGCACCGGAGTTCCATGGATAATAATCGATTATATTGAACTTTCGTGGTCTGTCTCAATAAATTTCGATAATAATTGATTATAATCGATTAAAAATGGATTATAATGAAACAATTTTTCTAATGAATAAAATCCGAATATAATCGATTATAATCGATTATTTTTGAAAGAAAATGAAACTTGTTTTCGCGGCAAAATAATCCATTTTTAATCGATTATAATTGATTATAATGGATTTTTTTGAGGGGTTATTCTTGAAATTTACAATTTTGTTCTAAATTATCTCATCTCCTGTTTAGTGCAGTTGCTACGAATTACGTTTCATAAAATGTTACATTTCAGAATAAAATTTACATTTTTTTGTCTCTACTTTTTTTAATTCATCGCAGTTTAACTAACACTTCATTTCACTTTTTTTTAACCAAAACCCTAATAAAACTAAAATTTCAGGGGTTTGAATTAGATTTTCATAGCTTCCCCCACCGGAGTTCCATGGATAATAATTATAAGTTTTTTTAACCCAGTTTTTTTTAAACCCCCCTCCCCCCAGTTTACCGCCACCACCCCCCCCCCCCAGTTTACCAGTCCTCCATTTACCCTCCCCCAGTTTACCCGAATTTATTTACCCAACCCCCCTCCCCTCCAGCTTCTCCCCCCTCCCCTCCAGCTTCTCCCCCCCCCCACCCCCCCCCCCCCCCAGCTTCTCTCCGCCCCAACTCCCACCTCCCAGCTTCTCTCCCCCCCCCCCCAGTTTACCCTACCCCTTACGCTGAGGGGGAGGGGGAAGCTTGAGGGGGCGAGGGGATGACGTTGAGACATGCCATGTAGTAAAAGACATGGCATAAATTCTGCAAATTTCTCGCAAAATTTGCAATATTTTGCAAAAATAATCGAGTTTAGTTCTAAAAATGAAATGGATTATAATAGATTTTAATGGAATATTTTGGCAAAAATAATCGATTTCAGTGACAAAAATTTTGGATTATAATCGATTATAATGGATTATAATGGATTTTTATTTTTCAAAAAAATCGATTTTAATGACCACATAATCGATTACGTGGTCTAAATTTGCCACAATAATGGATTATAATGACAACATTTTAGACAACATTTTTCCATTATAATCGATTATTATCCATGGAACTCCGGTGCGGGTGACGCAATTTGGTTCGCTTGGAGAGAAAACAGCTCTTCATATAGTTTGCTTACAATTTAATCAGAAATCCAATGATGTAGAACTTGTTTGATGCAGAACTAAAATGTGTAGAACTAAAATCCATTTTAAACTAACGAGTTTTTTGAGAGTTTTTTGTTCCGATCATTTGAAAATATGTGGCAACTTTGTATTGAGAAGCGTATGCGTTTTAGTTTTTTTGTTTTCCACGCGAAATCAGGTACCACATATAATCACCAGAATGGGTTGAATGGTATATCATATCAAAGTCTTTCCAGTTATGATTCGAACGACTTTTGAAAAGTTCGGAAAAATTTTAGCAGCCGAGAAAAAACACTGTGAAACTTCTGATTTTTGGTCTAAGTTAAAGCTAATAAAGCGAGGCTAACCAGGCTTTCAAAAGCTTTTTCATGCTTAATTAAAGCAGCGAACGTTTTTTTATTCGAGTAAAATTCGTTTTTGGGGTTTTTAGCGCCAATTTGGGAATCAAAAAACTTCAAAAACTTCTATTTTACTTACTATGAATGTTGAATTTGCCTAGTTATAATTTTCGTTCAGACTTTTTATCACACCACGCATAAAAACAAACGACACTAATTTGAAAAAAAAAACTTTATATTAGTATTTTTAAGACTATAGTCGAACATTGTGCAACTTGCACAGTAACTAGCTATCCTTGTTCCTGTTATAGGATAAATGAAAAATAACAAAAAAAAATCGTATTTTAATTAATTGAACAGCAACCTCAAAATCTGTTCGATTATTTAAAAGATGCAAAATTTCTTTATTACCGTTTTTTGCATCAGATTGCAAAGAACAGCTGCGTCTCTGTATAAAGATTATTTTGTATTTTGTTTGGTAGTGGGGTTTCCATTGGAAGTGTTTGAGTCTAATTAGATCAATTTAGAATGATTTTGAATGATTCATGAATTTAGAATGAAAAAAGATGTTTTCAAGGGCGGATTCAGGTGGGGAGGGGGGGGGGGGGGGTGGACGACCTTTTTCCCAACCCCTCGGGGGTTCGACTCCATCATCAATCAAATGGTTCCCTCTTTGGCATTATTTTATGCCATCCATTTTTGACGAACAAACCCTAACCTTTTTCTAAAGGCGCGTTTGGCGCCAATATTTACTAATTTTGTATGGCAGCGCGGGCCAAAAATGCATTTTTGACTCGTTTTTTTTTTCTTAAAATTGTGTCAATTTTTTTGTCAAAATAGAGTCTCTGTACTGTTCTGGGAGCGCTTGGAAAATCAATTTGGTCGACCTTAGAAAGTATACTTCGTGAATGCTAATTATTGTAAGATGCGGGGGGGGGGTGTGGGGGTAAAATACGTAATATTTTCTCACTCAGTGTGTTTTTTCGTTGGTGAGACATCTGTGCGGCTGATGATACTGGCGCGGCACGTGACCGGCGTTTCTTCTTCCACTTGCCTCTGGCTATCGAGTACATCTTGAGGTAGATGAGCATCAGAATGAGGAGGGGCAGGTAGAATGCACCCATGGTAGAGTAGAGGGTATATGCGACGGAGTCTGCAAACAGGAAAGCAGTCTTAACAAAGATAGTATCTTATCGGCTCCTTTCCAGTTTCCCAAACCCCCTCGTAAAATAACAAAATAAAGCTGTTCAAAAATTGTTCACACGGCATTTTGCATGTTATAAATGTTGTGAACATTTGTTCACCTGTCCACGCTGACACGTTTGAATGCAGTTTTCAACATGAAAATAATTTCAAATAGACTTTCCTTTACTGAATTTCAGAAAAAATCAAAAGGGGGAACTGGAAAAGAGCCATCTTATCTTGTTAATTGTCCCGCCTACGGTACCCTGTAACATTAGTTCTTAAAAAGAAATCATTCAAGAATATGTGGATGCGAACTTTGCGCCTCGGTACAATTTTGCCACTTTGGGGGCGGAGGGTGGAGGGAGAGGGGGTTCAGAGGTAACCATAACAAAATCCGAAGGATGAAATGCAATTTAAAATGCATTCAGAAAACTATTAAGTTATTACAGTTTGTCAGCGCCCTTAAGAACCAGCATATCAGACCTGCTAGTTTATACGCAATTTTCTTTGACAGTTTTCAACGGAGTTTCATGGAGATCCTAACTCCAATGGTCAAGTAGATCCTTTAAAACAAACGATTTCTTAGCATGGTTCTGCAGGAAAAGATTGTATTTGTTTGCTGTAAGATGCTGAAAAGAAAATTAAATCCCTAAAACTGATCACATTTATTGATTTCAAGGCTAGGGTTTTGGCCTTGACCTCTTCTGTGGTTTTCTATAATGAGAAAAACTAATATACATTTTTTCCTCTTAAAAATCAATATCTTATCAATAAAATCAACAAACAAATTGTATTGTGACCTAATTATTCTTTAATAGACAAGTTACTAACGACAGTTTTCTTATTCAAAATTGATTTGCCCTACCAAAGTGAACTAGAAAGACTAATTTGATAATTTCTTAATGAAGATGTTCGGCTAAAATGTCAATGACCTCTCAGATAATTTTGACGAATATCCTAAAAATTACAAGGCCTTCAGTTTTGAAAAAGCTCTCGTTGCCGATATCAAGTTACAAAGAATGGATGAATGTTCTGAATTGGAATTTTTTTTTCAGTTTGTTTTGAACTTTTCTACCGACTAGGTTGCCTGAAATTTTTGTTCCAACGAACGAAGAGAGTGACTGAATATTTGTTTTCGGTGTGGTTTTTTTTCTACGAACCGTATTCGTGTTTTCAACGAGCTATTTTTGACAAAATTTTTTGTTTATCTTTTAAAATGTTTTGTTGCCTTGCTCTTACAATTAAAAGACCAATTTAAGACACTAAAAGCGTAATATTTTGATGTTAGTCTATGTTGAAGTTTTTGATTCCTAAAGTGGCATTAAAAATCTCCAAAACTAATTTCCTCGAGTGAATTAAACAAGACTGCTCGTATCAGGGCGAAGCCCTGAATGTTCCGACTGCTTTTTAAGGTTTATGGAGCAGCAGTAATAGCATAAAAAAAACTCAATGAAATAATACAAAATGAAATTTTTTTTCTTCTAAAATTTGAAATTTTTTATAAAAATCATCCCCCCACACGCCATATAAAGGACAAAAGGATAGGTTTCGCTCCTTGTAACAAACCATTTATGGCAAATAAGCTTCTTTTAACCAATTTGGAACGATTTCTAAGAAGCATTAACTCTCCGCTTACGCGTTAATAGCGCGAAATATATCGCGCGTTAATTGTCCCAAATTGGCCAAAATGGCAATCTTTAAACCCCTGTAACTTTACGAAAAATAATCACAGGTGAAATATCTTTTCAAATTTGAGCTCAGGACAACAATACCTTTCGAATGATATTAAAAAAATTTCTTCAAAAATGACTAGTTAAAAAGTCGAAATTTGTCTGAAGAAAAAAAAAACCCCACCCCGAGCACAAATATTCCGTTACTTTCGTATCGAAAGTCGGAACAAAAATTAGGCATAACAAGATTGCTCGTATCAGGGCGAAGCCCTAAAAGTTCCGACTGCCTTTTAACGTTTATGGAGCTGTACTAACATAAACAATATAAATATAAAATGAAATAAAATAAAACGAAAAACTTTTTTTCCTAAAATTTGAAAATTTTTCTATGCAAATCATTCCCCCACACGCCATTTAAAGTACAAAACAATAGATTTTGCTCCTTGTAACAAATCAATTATGGCAAATAAGCATCTTTCAACCAATTTGGAACGATTTCTAAGACGGATTAAATCTCCGCTTACGCGTTAATAGCGCGAATTATATCGCGTGTTAATTATCCCAAATTGGTCAAAATGGCAATCTTTAAAGCCTCATAACTTTACGAAAAATGATCACAGGTGAAATATCTTTTCGAATTTAAGCTCAGGACAACAATAGCTTTCGAATGATATTAAAAAATTCCGTCAAAAATGGCTAGTTAAAAAGTCGAAATTTGTCTGAAGAAAAAAACCCACTCCGAAAGTCGGAACGATAAAGCTATTGTAAACGGCCTAAATCAAGCATAAATAAGCTTCCTCGCTGGCTTTCGTCGCTCAAAATTAGACGAAAAAACAAAAATTTTAAACGGGTTTTTCTCGACACTATAAAAATTTTTGGTAATTATTTAATGCGGTTCGAATCCCGACTGAAACGGTTTTGATATGATTTATCACTCGACCCATTCCGATATTATTTGTGGTAGCTAATTTTGCGAGGAAAGAAATAGAAACCCGAAAACAAATTCCTCCCCATTTTCAATGGTCGGAACAACAAAAATATAAAAGTAATCAATAGACAATAAAAAGCGGTATTCAATTCATGGCTTTGTTTTGATAGCGGCAGTCTTGTTGATCTTAGGGCATCAATAGTTATTAAATGTTATAAAAGTACTCAAAATTGTTATTCAAATAGCTGAAATTTGTCTGAATTAAATACCAAACAACCCATCAAATTGAACCATTGTTGCGAAAGTTGAAACAATTAAATTTACAATCTTTTTTCATTATTTTCAACCCATTTATAAACCGTTTGTACAACTTGAAGCGTTTTGCTCCAATTTCTTTTTCTAAATATTGGTTGCTCTTTTCAATGGAAAGAAGAAAAGGAGAAAAATCTTTCTCCAATTTTATATTTGTCTTGCTTTTTAATTATAAATATCATAAGCTTCCCAACAATTAAGAAAAAAAAAACAAAACGAAAAACGTAAAGTCTTAATGTCATTTGACTCAAACATTATAGCATAAATTCCTGAGACTTGCAGAGGCCAATTTACAAGTAAATTCGACCTTTTCAATCATCAGTTTTTCCTCGCTGAAAGAGTTAGTTCGAGGAGTAGTAAGATTTTTTTTTGTTATAATTAATGAGAAAAATTTTGAAATCTCAAGATTTCGTCATCTCAAGAACGAAAAGCTTTCGAAATGCAAACCTATTTAAAAAAAATCTAACTCCTAGGAGGACTTCCATTAATCTTTTACTTAAAACTAGAAAATTTAAATTATGAGTCGAAAGAGTGTTTTAGATTTGATGGTTCAATAAATGAGTTTTTCTCAGTCTCAGCAAGCTATCCTTTGAGTTTATATAAGTTTATATAATCTGAAGTTTTCTATGCCGTATCAATTAGGTATCAGTTTTTATGCTTGCAAAAAAGATCCTACAGTAGAATAGCACTGGATCTTCTTGTGGGTTTCCATGATTATCAAAACTAAAAATTTTGTTTAAAAAAGTTCTGAGTGTATTTTTTTAATAGACTTATAGACAATTTTCATAAATTCATACAGATTGGGCTCGTAAACAAATATTTGCTTTTGTTTTTTAAAATATAAATCTGCTTTTTTTTCTGAAATATTGGATCTATTTTTTTTATGAAACAAAAGTTAGGTTTAGTGGAATGTAACTGCAGCATCCATAAATATAAATGCCAATTTAAACAGACTTGAACTAATAGTCAGTTACTGTGCAAGTAGCACAGAATGTTCGTACCGTAGTCTTAAAAAAAAACAATTTTTTTTTCTAATTATTGTTTTTTTTCGGCGTGGTGTAATAAGTTGAGCTGAACTATAAAAAAACTTGGGATTGTTAATAAAGTAAATTGAAAAAAAATCTTGGAGAATGACTAGAAAAACGAAAAAAAAAAATCAAAAAAAAATTTTCAAATTTTTTTTGCAAATTGAACCAAGATTGGGGTCATTTCATACACAGAGTCGCCATAATGATACATAAATCAAAAGCAGGTTCGAATCAATTCCCGAAAAGCTCCTCCAGTTGCTTGAGTAACCCAAAGTTTCGATACCAAACAAAAATTACTCTGCTATTAAAAGAATGCTGCAAAAAAGAATGCAGAAATTGCAAGGACGAGCAATCTTCTGAAATTCTTAAACTAGTGTTTTTGATTTTGTTGGTAATTAACCAGGTATCGAGCAAGAAGGCTGAGATTCCATCATCACTTCCGCGGATTCATTCGTGTAGTTACTGCCTAAAGAAACCACTTCGATTGTACTGTTTCCAGGCCCCGCTTCAAGGTCACGTGATGTGCCAGTGTTATCCCAGGGATAGAGTAAAAGAGGCAGTGATATCGTGTTTGTAAGAACAGCTATTGCCGCCAGTAGACCAAGAGCTACTTTGTAGTCCCGGCGAGAGAGGTAGCTCATCTAAAAATAAAGTTTAAAATTTTATTTCAGTCTTATAATTTTTTCCTAAAGAAAAGTTTGCTTAATTTCCTCCAGCCCGAAGGACCGAAAACTTGAAAATCATGCTAGCCCACCAGCTCCGACAAATCAGAAGCTCAAATTCGGATAAAAAACTTTGAAAATCAGCTAACTATGAACTTTTTCAATGACGATTGGTGGAAAATTTTCTCGCATTCGGTCCTGTTGTCATCAGAAAAGGCTCCATAATTTTTCCTAATGGAAATAGACATTATGAGAATTTAAAGGAATTTTCTATCTTGAAAAAAAAAACGGCCAGCTTGGAGACAAGTAATTTCTATCAAGATTAATATTTTTGTCAAGATTTGACAGTGCATTGCGGTACAATATTATGCAACAAAATAATAGAGATTCCGCAATGCACTGTTGGGCCCAGGGCGAGATCGTATGGTTTTATGTTCAGACAATGGAATATATTCAGACTTTGTTTGGAGGTTTAAACCGCGTGGGTACTGAAAATTTTCGATCACAACTCAGTATGACCATGAAACCACAGCATGGTGACAATTTGCTTCAAAATGGGAAGTCAGTTTAGTCTTGATATTAAAAAGTGTGAATAGACCTCAAATGAGAATATGCAAAGTCTGTCTATTCCGATGGCACAGAGATGCCAGATGGAGGCTGTACAGAGAGACACGTCCACGAACATCCACGCCTCACACAACACCCTACAACAAACACACACACAGCCGAGTTACTTTAACTCCATTTACCCACCAAGGAAATAAGAGCCCACATACCAGCTGTTCGCCTTTTTACTGAGGGGCCCCTTATTTCGAGTTATAGAGGCAAAGGCGAACATCTAAAATTTACCCAACAAATTTTACCCCAAATTTTTACCATAAAATGCCCACCGTCCCCTCCCCCCCCCTAATTTCTAATCCAGACCTATCAAGTTGAAGAATTAGTTGTCATAAAAACGCCTATGTATGTACACTTACTTGGAAAAAGGCCATTTGTCGCTCAGATGCTGTGCGGTTTTGAACGGCATCACCATGAGGCCGACCAGAGCGTCACAAAGAGCAAGTGTCGCAACCAGATACATTCCGACATTATGTAATCTCTGGCTCTTCCAAACAACTCCGACAACTACACTATTAGCCAATACTGTAATTACAATCAAAATAATTTGTACCCCCACAACTAGCACTGTAACCCAGGGTATTGAGTCTATCAAACTACCTCCAACGCTCGGGTTTGCAAATTCCGATGTTGGTGTAGGAAAGGGATTTAGGACATTTTTGTCAGTAACAGGTAAGTAGTCGATGTAATAGTTCTTCATTTTGGAGAATTCGAATCGATATGGGAATTGAACTAAACACGAGTCTAAGACAAATGAAAGGCTACGCCAATTATAATGGGGGCGATAGTAAAGCTTTCAAGATAGATTTCGACTAAGATAACGGGACGCAGGTTCAAAAAGTGTTCAAATATGGCCAGATAATTTGATATTGCCCAAAAGCATGTCCCTCACAACAAGAGCGAAGCGAATTAAAGATGAAGGAATGGATTATATGTGTAAACTCAGAGTTTAACTATTAAATTGGGAATTGGTTATAAAGCAGTTTTTTTGGTGCACTAGGTATGCAGTCAGTGTTCTTTTGAACCACTGTTTATTTTTAGTAATTGTTTATTTTGCTTATATATATTTTTTTAGCTTTGTCCAATAACATTTAATAGTGAAATGAACTAATTATTATCGAAGACGAATTTTATTTGACAATTGTACCTTATTGAACTTTGATTATTTTCCTCTAAAAGTTATGTCTATTAGAGAAAAAATAATGAAAGCTCACTGCGGCACATTTATCAAATAAACTTTCAATATGAAATACTTCAAAGCATTTCCTTGTTTAATATTAAGCGAAAATAAGAATTTAGAAAGTTTCTGATAGTAAGTTTTTTCAATTAAAATATATTTTTTTTATAAGTAGGGCTTCAGCTGGGTTGCAGATGAATTAAAAACTGAGAAATTTCCATAGAAAATTAATGTTGCTAAATATTTAAATTATCCAACCAACAAAAATGATTCAGGTTTGTCTTCTTTTTCAGGTAGCTAGGATATATTCCGTTTTTTTTGAAAGAATCCCAACAACTTGAAAGACAATAAAAAAAGATGAATAATAAATGGAAACCGAAACAGAAATTCTGTTTACCCGTGATTGGAAATGACGACCAACAGACAAAAAACGGCGGCTTTATATCATCGGAAGCCTCTTGATTTAGCAGGTGTTGTCTGTTATTATTGGACCAAGTTGACTCCCTGTTTTTGTCGAGGAAACAAATTGAGAATTAAAATCCATAAAATCTAATCTTCAGTCAAAATTCGAAGCTAATCTCTTCTTCTGACTTGTGTTCTGAAACAATAAAATTATACAATGCGATTTAATTGCAAAAAAGGAAACTTCTTTATGGCGGTTCGGTTTTTTTGAGATGATACCAGGCTCAAAGTAGAAAAAGGAACTAAGAGAAAAAGCTGTCATAGACAGCCTGAAGGTTGAAACTAAAAGAAACGTTAGTTAATGATTTTTGATCTGCCTTATTTGTGAAGACTTTTACTATCTTTCGTCAATTAAGTCCCGCAGAATGAGAAAATAGTTTTCTGAAAAACTGTCGGTTGGGCTGCGTAATTTAAAAAAAATTCTAAGATTAGCTCTTTTTTTAGTTTTATTATTTATTTCCATCATTTAAATAATAAATGTTTTTTCATTGAATAAAAAAAGGTGATAAACAAAAAGTTGACGGTTCCGGGAACACCAAGAAAACAAAATCAATAGGGGAAATTTCAGATTTATAGGCATAATTACTGTAGTGTTTGCTTTAAAAAGAGACTATAAACGATGCAAATTGAGTGCCTCAAAAAATCCAATTGCTCTGAGTGATATATCATAAAAAAGCCATTTAATTTAGATACAAAATCTAAACCTAAGTTTTTCAGCTATTATTTAGTAATGAAAAAAAGTAGGTAGAACACGTGAAACAAAACTGAAAAAAAAAGAAAGCAATTTTTACTTGTCTTTTGAAAAAGCAGTTCTCGTTTTAATTAAAAATTCTATTTTGTCAATTCTACCCACTTAGAAGAAGGATTACGCCAACCTTGGTGCAGTAAAAAGTTTGGCTATTTTTTGAAGGCATAAAAATTGTCAAAAAGTTTGGGTGGTGTGATATCTACTGTATCTAGCAAATGGTCTAATCTTGATATAAAAAATGATTGCTAAACAGGCAACAGAAATTTAGTTTTAAGTTACGAAAAAAAGGTTTATTTTTGAACTCGCTATGTGAGTAATAATAGTAAAGTTTATCAAAATCTTTTAAAATGTTTTGTTGCCTTGCTCTTACAATTAAAGGACCAATTTAAGACACTAAAAGCGTAATATTTTGATGTTAGTCTATGTTGAAGTTTTTGATTCCTAAAGTGGCATTAAAAATCTCCAAAACTAATTTCCTCGAGTGAATTAAACAAGACTGCTCGTATCAGGGCGAAGCCCTGAATGTTCCGACTGCTTTTTAAGGTTTATGGAGCAGCAGTAATAACATAAAAAAAACTCAATGAAATAATACAAAATGAAATTTTTTTTCTTCTAAAATTTGAAATTTTTTATAAAAATCATCCCCCCACACGCCATATAAAGGACAAAAGGATAGGTTTCGCTCCTTGTAACAAACCATTTATGGCAAATAAGCTTCTTTTAACCAATTTGGAACGATTTCTAAGACGGATTAAATCTCCGCTTACGCGTTAATAGCGCGAATTATATCGCGTGTTAATTATCCCAAATTGGTCAAAATGGCAATCTTTAAAGCCTCATAACTTTACGAAAAATGATCACAGGTGAAATATCTTTTCAAATTTGAGCTCAGGACAAAAACACCTTTCGAATGATATTAAAAAAATTTCTTCAAAAATGACTAGTTAAAAAGTCGAAATTTGTCTGAAGAAAAAAATACCCCACCCCGAGCACAAATATTCCGTTACTTTCGTTTCGAAAGTCGGAACAAAAATTAGGCATAACAAGATTGCTCGTATCAGGGCGAAGCCCTGAAAGTTCCGACTGCCTTTTAACGTTTATGGAGCTGTACTAACATAAACAATATAAAATATAAAATGAAATAAAATAAAACGAAAAACTTTTTTTTCTAAAATTTGAAAATTTTTCTATGCAAATCATTCCCCCACACGCCATTTAAAGTACAAAACAATAGATTTTGCTCCTTGTAACAAATCATTTATGGCAAATAAGCTTCGTTAAACCAATTTGGAACGATTTCTAGAGGGATTAAATCTCCGCTACGTGTTAATAGCCCGAAATTAATTGCGCATTAATTGTCCCAAGTTGGTCAAAATGACATTTTTCAAATCCCCATAAATTTTCGAAAAGTTTAAGCTCAGGACAACAATAATTTTCAACTAACATTTAAAAAATTCCGTCAAAAATGGCTAGTTAAAAAGTCGAAATTTGTCTGAAGAAAAAAACCCACCCATGCACAAATATTCCGTTACTTTCGTATCGAAAGTCGGAACGATAAAGCTATTGTAAACGGCCTAAATCAAGCATAAAAAAGCTTCCTCGCTGGCTTTCGTCGCTCAAAATTAGACGAAAAAACAAAAATTTTAAACGGGTTTTTCTCGACACTATAAAAGTTTTTGGTAATTATTTAATGCGGTTCGAATCCCGACTGAAACGGTTTTGATATGATTTATCACTCGACCCATTCCGATATTATTTGTGGTAGCTAATTTTGCGAGGAAAGAAAAAGAAACCCGAAAACAAATTCCTCCCCATTTTCAATGGTCGGAACAACAAAAATTTAAAAGTAATCAATAGACAATAAAAAGCGGTATTCAATTCATGGCTTTGTTTTGATAGCGGCAGTCTTGTTGATCTTAGGGCATCAATAGTTATTAAATGTTATAAAAGTACTCAAAATTGTTATTCAAATAGCTGAAATTTGTCTGAATTAAATACCAAACAACCCATCAAATTGAACCATTGGTGCGAAAGTTGAAACAATTAAATTTACAACCTTTTTACATTATTTTCAACCCATTTATAAACCGTTTGTACAACTTGAAGCGTTTTGCTCCAATTTCTTTTTCTAAATATTGGTTGCTCTTTTCAATGGAAAGAAGAAAAGGAGAAAAATCTTTCTCCAATTTTATATTTGTCTTGCTTTTTAATTATAAATATCATAAGCTTCCCAACAATTAAGAAAAAAAAAACAAAACGAAAAACGTAAAGTCTTAATGTCATTTGACTCAAACATTATAGCATAAATTCCTGAGACTTGCAGAGGCCAATTTACAAGTAAATTCGACCTTTTCAATCATCAGTTTTTCCTCGCTGAAAGAGTTAGTTCGAGGAGTAGTAAGATTTTTTTTTGTTATAATTAATGAGAAAAATTTTGAAATCTCAAGATTTCGTCATCTCAAGAACGAAAAGCTTTCGAAATGCAAACCTATTTAAAAAAAATCTAACTCCTAGGAGGACTTCCATTAATCTTTTACTTAAAACTAGAAAATTTAAATTATGAGTCGAAAGAGTGTTTTAGATTTGATGGTTCAATAAATGAGTTTTTCTCAGTCTCAGCAAGCTATCCTTTGAGTTTATATAAGTTTATATAATCTGAAGTTTTCTATGCCGTATCAATTAGGTATCAGTTTTTATGCTTGCAAAAAAGATCCTACAGTAGAATAGCACTGGATCTTCTTGTGGGTTTCCATGATTATCAAAACTAAAAATTTTGTTTAAAAAAGTTCTGAGTGTATTTTTTTAATAGACTTATAGACAATTTTCATAAATTCATACAGATTGGGCTCGTAAACAAATATTTGCTTTTGTTTTTTAAAATATAAATCTGCTTTTTTTCTGAAATATTGGAACTTATCTATTTTTTTTATGAAACAAAAGTTAGGTTTAGTGGAATGTAACTGCAGCATCCATAAATATAAATGCCAATTTAAACAGACTTGAACTAATAGTCAGTTACTGTGCAAGTAGCACAGAATGTTCGTACCGTAGTCTTAAAAAAAAACAATTTTTTTTTCTAATTATTGTTTTTTTTCGGCGTGGTGTAATAAGTTGAGCTGAACTATAAAAAAACTTGGGATTGTTAATAAAGTAAATTGAAAAAAAAAATCTTGGAGAATGACTAGAAAAACGAAAAAAAAATCAAAAAAAAATATTCAAATTTTTTTTGCAAATTGAACCAAGATTGGGGTCATTTCATACACAGAGTCGCCATAATGATACATAAATCAAAAGCAGGTTCGAATCAATTCCCGAAAAGCTCCTCCAGTTGCTTGAGTAACCCAAAGTTTCGATACCAAACAAAAATTACTCTGCTATTAAAAGAATGCTGCAAAAAAGAATGCAGAAATTGCAAGGACGAGCAATCTTCTGAAATTCTTAAACTAGTGTTTTTGATTTTGTTGGTAATTAACCAGGTATCGAGCAAGAAGGCTGAGATTCCATCATCACTTCCGCGGATTCATTCGTGTAGTTACTGCCTAAAGAAACCACTTCGATTGTACTGTTTCCAGGCCCCGCTTCAAGGTCACGTGATGTGCCAGTGTTATCCCAGGGATAGAGTAAAAGAGGCAGTGATATCGTGTTTGTAAGAACAGCTATTGCCGCCAGTAGACCAAGAGCTACTTTGTAGTCCCGGCGAGAGAGGTAGCTCATCTAAAAATAAAGTTTAAAATTTTATTTCAGTCTTATAATTTTTTCCTAAAGAAAAGTTTGCTTAATTTCCTCCAGCCCGAAGGACCGAAAACTTGAAAATCATGCTAGCCCACCAGCTCCGACAAATCAGAAGCTCAAATTCGGATAAAAAACTTTGAAAATCAGCTAACTATGAACTTTTTCAATGACGATTGGTGGAAAATTTTCTCGCATTCGGTCCTGTTGTCATCAGAAAAGGCTCCATAATTTTTCCTAATGGAAATAGACATTATGAGAATTTAAAGGAATTTTCTATCTTGAAAAAAAACGGCAAGCTTGGAGACAAGTAATTTTTATCAAGATTAATATTTTTGTCAAGATTTGACAGTGCATTGCGGTAAAATATTATGCAACAAAATAATAGAGATTCCGCAATGCACTGTGGGGCCCAGGGCGAGATCGTATGGTTTTATGTTCAGACAATGGAATATATTCAGACTTTGTTTGGAGGTTTAAACCGCGTGGGTACTGAAAATTTTCGATCACAACTCGGTATGACCATGAAACCACAGCATGGTGACAATTTACTTCAAAATGGGAAGTCAGCTTAGACTTGACATTAAAAAGTGTGAATAAACCTCAAATGAGAATATGCAAAGTCTGTCTATTCCGATGGCACAGAGATGCCAGATGGAGGCTGTACAGAGAGACACGTCCACGAACATCCACGCCTCACACAACACCCTACAACAAACACACACACAGCCGAGTTACTTTAACTCCATTTACCCACCAAGGAAATAAGAGCCCACATACCAGCTGTTCGCCTTATTTACTGAGAGGAGGGACCCCTTATTTCGAGTTATAGAGGCAAAGGCGAACATCTAAAATTTACCCAACAAAATTTACCCCAAATTTCCACCATAAAATGCCCACCGTTAATTTACCCCCTCCCCCCCCCCCCCTGATTTCTAATCCAGACCTATCAAGTTGAAGAGTTAATTGTCATAGAAATGCCTGTGTATGTAAACTTACTTGGAAAAGGGCCATTTGTCGCTCAGATGCTGTGCGGTTTTGAACGGCATCACCATGAGGCCGACCAGAGCGTCACAAAGAGCAAGTGTCGCAACCAGATACATTCCGACATTATGTAATCTCTGGCTCTTCCAAACAACTCCGACAACTACACTATTAGCCAATACTGTAATTACAATCAAAATAATTTGTACCCCCACAACTAGCACTGTAACCCAGGGTATTGAGTCTATCAAACTACCTCCAACGCTCGGGTTTGCAAATTCGGATGTTGGTGTAGGAAAGGGATTTAGGACATTTTTGTCAGTAACAGGTAAGTAGTCGATGTAATAGTTCTTCATTTTGGAGAATTCGAATCGATATGGGAATTGAACTAAACACGAGTCTAAGACAAATGAAAGGCTACGCCAATTATAATGGGGGCGATAGTAAAGCTTTCAAGATGGATTTCGACTAAGATAACGGGACGCAGGTTCAAAAAGTGTTCAAATATGGCCAGACAATTTGATATTGCCCAAAAGCATGTCCCTCACAACAAGAGCGAAGCGAATTAAAGATGAAGGAATGGATTATATGTGTAAACTCAGAGTTTAACTATTAAATTGGGAATTGGTTATAAAGCAGTTTTTTTGGTGCACTAGGTATGCAGTCAGTGTTCTTTTGAACCACTGTTTATTTTTAGTAATTGTTTATTTTGCTTATATATTTTTTTTTAGCTTTGTCCAATAACATTTAATAGTGAAATGAACTAATTATTATCGAAGACGAATTTTATTTGACAATTGTACCTTATTGAACTTTGATTATTTTCCTCTAAAAGTTATGTCTATTAGAGAAAAAATAATGAAAGCTCACTGCGGCACATTTATCAAATAAACTTTCAATATGAAATACTTCAAAGCATTTCCTTGTTTAATATTAAGCCAAAATAAGAATTTAGAAAGTTTCTGATAGTAAGTTTTTTCAATTAAAATGTTTTTTTTTTATAAGTAGGGCTTCAGCTGGGTTGCAGATGAATTAAAAACTGAGAAATTTCCATAGAAAATTAATGTTGCTAAATATTTAAATTATCCAACCAACAAAAATGATTCAGTTTTGTCTTCTTTTTCAGGTAGCTAGGATATATTCCGTTTTTTTTTAAAGAATCCCAACAACTTGAAAGACAATAAAAAAGATGAATAATAAATGGAAACCGAAACAGAAATTCTGTTTATCCGTGATTGGAAATGACGACCAACAGACAAAAAACGGCGGCTTTATATCATCGGAAGCCTCTTGATTTAGCAGGTGTTGTCTGTTATTATTGGACCAAGTTGACTCCCTGTTTTTGTCGAGGAAACAAATTGAGAATTAAAATCCATAAAATATAATCTTCAGTCAAAATTCGAAGCTAATCTCTTCTTCTGACTTGTGTTCTGAAACAATAAAATTATACAATGCGATTTAATTGCAAAAAAGGAAACTTCTTTATGGCGGTTCGGTTTTTCTGAGATGATACCAGGCTCAAAGTAGAAAAGGAAACTAAGAGAAAAAGCTGTCATAGGGCTGCGTAATTCAAAAAAAAATTCTAAGATAATCATAGCTCCTTTTTTAATTGAAAAATTTATTTCCCTCATATAAATAATAAATGTTTTTTCATTGAATAAAAAAGGGTGATAAACAAAAAGTTGACGGTTCCGGGAACACCAAGAAAACAAAATCAATAGGGGAAATTTCAGCTTTATAGGCATAATTACTGTAGTGTTTGCTTTAAAAAGAGACTATAAACGATGCAAATTGAGTGCCTCAAAAAATCCAATTGCTCTGAGTGATATATCATAAAAAAGCCATTTAATTTAGATACAAAATCTAAACCTAAGTTTTTCAGCTATTATTTAGTAATGAAAAAAAGTAGGTAGAACACGTGAAACAAAACTGAAAAAAAAGAAAGCAATTTTTACTTGTCTTTTGAAAAAGCAGTTCTCGTTTTAATTAAAAATTCTATTTTGTCAATTCTACCCACTTAGAAGAAGGATTACGCCGACCTTGGTGCAGTAAAAAGTTTGGCTATTTTTTCAAGGCATAAAAATTGTCTAAAAGTTTGGGTGGCGTGATATCTACTGTATCTAGCAAATGGTCTAATCTTGATATAAAAAAATGATTGCTAAACAGGCAACAGAAATTTAGTTTTAAGTTACGAAAAAAACTTATTTTTGAACTTGCTATGTGAGTAACAATAGTAAAATTTATCAAAATTTGAGTCATAATTAGCAAGAAATTTTTTGATTAATTGGAAAATTGGGTGATGAAAATTGGTTTAAAAAGTCGACAAACTTGTCTGTACATTCAAATTTACGGCACCAATAAGCCTGAATTAGTCAAGATAGTTTGTTACAATTCAGTTTTAGCCTTTTTGAGGGGTTTCCATTTCTCTGGAACAACGAAAAACGGCGCCAGTTTCAGCATGGAGCTCGTGAAAATTCGAGATATTTGTTTTCCCGTTTTTTTGGAATTGTTTCATGACTCGAGCCATTGTTAGTCCCTTTGTTAAGTTTGTTAAAAAGTAAAACCTGCAAAACATGCGCACGAATTGGAACCATAACACTGACATCGTTGCTCATTTCATTTGTTTGTACCAAATGCTTCCAATTTTGATTTCAAAATGATAGTTTCAGGAGTTTTAAAATCCCGTCGCTCAGTTGGTGTTGTCGATGTCGCTGAGGATGGTGTTTGAAGTTGAGATTGCAATTAAACCCAATTCAAAGTGAAAAACGTCGACATGAACTTCGCATTTGCCGGAATGGTATTTGATAAGTCTGGTCCTCATAGCGTTTCTGCAACCAATTATTTGGCGTTTTTATTGTAAAAAAAAAACACTTTTGATTTTGTCTCGTCTTTCGAAGTGTGATTGGAACATTGTGCGAAGCCAATTCTGATGCAGAATAGGACAGATTTAGGAGAGGGCTACAAGTACCTGATTTGTCATTTTAATAACGCAATTGTCTGACCTTTGCTATAGAATTCTTGTTCCCAATTTGTCCAAAGGGTTGAGAAAATTCACCAGCGAGATTTTCGGTCAATCAGTTTATTCTTTTTTCATGCTTTGAAGTTTTTTTGGTAAAGCTTTTTTTCTTTGACGGAGGCAAAAAGCCACTGCACTCAATAGCAATGAGATAACACAGACGAGTTCTCTATGAATTGAATTTTTGACGGATTTAATTGTTTATTTGCTTCTAAAAACTAGTCAGGACGCAAGGCGCAATCAGATTTCTTGGCTCCTGCATAAACAGTTTTAGTTTTTTTTCAAACTTTTTTTTCCACCTGAAGTTTTCCACTGCTGGCCAGTCACCTGTGCTACTAACTGTGCCTGCATATAACTGTAGTTTGAGCAAAGAGCAAATTTTTAACTACCTATCCACATGACCAATTGAAGGTAGAATTCCAAGTGAAAATTCGTCTGCAGAGTTGTTCCGCTCGAACCCTTGCGGGGACGCGGAAGTGCTCGATAAATTTGTGCTCAGTCTAACTTTTGAAAAAAATTGCAGACAACATGTTTCAGATCGATCAAAGTAGAAGAATAAATTGCAAACTCAACACCCTGATGTGCGGCTCGATCTGAATTTTGCGGTAGTTTCTTTTGCTGGTACAGGCTCACTCAAGGGCACTCAAGAAAGATGAGAACAGTAAGCTATTATGACATGAAGTCATTGAAAAGTTGCAATGAACTTAAATTGGAAAAAGTGAACTTCTTAACGTCAGATTGAGCTTTTTTGAAATTGTGAAGATACTACTGAAAAACTCATATTTTTGAAACTGCCAATGAAAACTGCAGCCGCAAGTCTTTTAGTTTAAAAAGTTTGAAACTTTCAAACTGATTTAAGCGGAACTTCCTCTCGGATGGGTTTTTGAGTCTTTTTACTCTTTTTAAGAGTGTGTGAGAGATACACTGGACCAACCAACTTTGTGAGCAGAGGAAAAAAAAACTGTTTTTGAAATTTTTTCATGTCATAAAAAAAAGTGGGCAAACAAAAATTGTCAAAATTTTTTTGCTTGTTATTGGGATTTCAACCAGGTTATCTGGCGTGTGGGACCACATTATATACGTTAGTCCATGAAGGTATTGAAAAACATTTAAAATTAAAAAAAAATCAGTTTTATTTTCAATTCACCGATTTTTCATAGAAAACGCGTGGTTTCTCTTAGCAAAGTGTATAGAAATTGCATCTCGAATTTGTCTTTTCCCAAGCTTGGGAATTAAGTCTTAATGGGAAAAAAATTGAGGAAAAATGTAGCAGTAATTTTGCGAAATCGTCAATTTCCGGGTCAAAAGTATAACGTTAAAAACTAGCGTTGGATCGTTAAAAGTGAACTGATCTTGCTTTTACGGAAGATTATAGGAAAAATGCCGAGTGCTTTGTCAGCACGCTAGGTACAATCACGGTTCTTGGCTCCTTCTATTTGCACGCTTGTTTTTTTCAAAATTTTGTTTTTATATTTCCAACTAGATTAGGGCCGTGACGCACTGCTGACTAGTGTATTTTTCGCCTGAAAAACATAATCGACGGAAATTAAAGCTAGATCCTATAACGATTGGCTAGCATTATAAAAATGTTTTATGTTTTTTGACCCTCTCGACCATTGCCAATTCAAAATGGTTTTCATAACATGAGGTCGACAAAAACGCTACAGTCTAAAGGCCATCAGCCAAAAAAAGCAAATTAAATAAATTGCATGTGAAGAAAGTGAATTCATGACTGGGTCTCAGTATCCCGAGACCACGAGGTCACTCGTAAAAACAGGGTTGCAGGGTTGGTATCATGATTATTGGTTTAGTAAATTACTTTTTTTGTAAAATCACCCTATCAATCGAACCTTTTCTCAACTCCAAGTTTCTTGTAATTTGAGATCAAAAAGGGTTGTTATAAGTTAAATTCAGGACAGCTAAGAAATTGTTACTATGTAGTTTAGGAGGGGAACTCCAGACCGTTGCGATTTCTTGAATGTTATTGAGAAAATTCTTCTTCACAACCTGGAAAGGTTTCCGTATCCACTCCTGACTTTCCTGATCAATACAAATTGTCCAGTAACAATTACAACCATATAATCTTTACAACTCGGAAAGCTCCCAATCTTCTTACTTGTTCACGTTGCAAATCTGATTCTTCTGTCTGCTAAGCTCATTATCTCTCCGTGATCTCTTGCGAAAATGGTTGTTTGATTTTCGCGCTTTTTCAGATTTCGCAAATTTTTAAAGTCCTCACTTGTTTTCAATCTTGAACGAATTTTTAAATATAATTACTCAAAAAATAAACGACCCCTCCCAATTCGGTTCTTCTTACAACTAACGTCACCTAGCGTCATAAATGACGTATCGTACGGTCAGTTCTTATCGAATAAAATCCAATCGTAAAAATGAAATTCGATGATATTCTGGTCTATAGTCATCCATGTTACTAATTATGTCATCAGGTATCAATAACTTGAGCAAAGAGCAATTTTTTAACTACATAACGACATAATCATTTAGGGATAGATTATTAACTCAACAATTTTCTGTAGATTTCTTCCTCTCAAACCCCTGCGACGACGCGAAACAGCTCGATATATTTGGGCTCATTCAATTTTGAAAGACTGTGCAGACAATTGAATTGACATGAATACAGTGGTTTCTAACTGATCAAAGCAGAAAAATTGAAAAAACTTAATTTTTTTTATCTAGTGCTCAATCTGACTATTTT